CTTTCAGTCCCTTGGAGAGGACAATTTCTTCCTAGTTTACCTTACACGGAGGGTATACCATTTTGGAATCTCAGCTTTATGTAAGTTAACCTCCTAGCAGATGCTCTCTTGGGGAGGCTCAGTCTTCTATTCTTACATTTTCAGGAAGTAATGAAAAGCAACATGCAAATTTTTCAGGTTAAGCAAATGCTCTCAAGTGAAAAGCTAGCTTCAATGCTTAGTTGATCTCCTAGGTTCCCATTATCTCTTAGATTTTGGTCACTGAGTATTTAGAGATCATTGTGTTTTTCTTTAATATTATATCGTACATTTCTTAGTTGTTTTCAGTGGGAGGCTTGGTTAGGAGATCTAGTTTGTCATTCTGCAAGAACCGAAGTCTTAGTTACTTCTATATCCTTCACATCTCCACACCTTCACATCCAATGCCTTTCACATGTAGTATGTGCTCACTAAATGTAGCTAACTTGATTTGAAACATGACATTATAATAAAGAATGAATTGCTAAAACTGAAAATCAGGTCAGTTTTTCATTAAATTATAGCTTTTGTCAAGATTCTCAATATAGCATTTTAAAATACCTCTTAGTTCAAATATAGTTTTATGTTGTATTACTGTTTGGTGTAGATGTAGATTTTATTTTAAAAATCTTAGATTGGTTAAACTTTTTAAAAATATGTAAAATATGACATCACAACCCAAGTCTCATATATATGTACATGTATATATATATATATATATATATATACACATATATATAATACTATATATTATATATATGTACATATGTGTATATATATGTATATGTATATAATGTGTGTATATATATATATAATATATATATTATATATATATAATATATATATAATACTAAGACTTCCTACATTGAAGCAGAATTAACTTCAAGCTTAAATTGTCAAAAATAAACCAACTCTTGGTAATTTTTCATCTAAGCAGGAAAGGAAGTGAATTTAACAAATACTTGCAAAAGTCATTGAAGCTTTACATCTATATATGGTAGCCTTCGTCCATGGAAAGAAACTGAAGCTGATAGTTTCATTTATTAATTTATTTTGGTGCAACCGACTTGAAAAGAAAAAAAACAATTCTGCCTATTTTCATTTCTGTTCATTATTCCTTAGAGCCATAAGCCCTAATTATGATTGTCTGAGGAATTAGATTTTCCTCTCAACACAAATATTGAAATAATAATATTGTCCATGTATTACAAGTGCTATGAAAGCTAATGATAAGGTTTTCCCAGATATCTGAAAGCAATGTTACAAATTCACAAAAGAACAAAAGAACAAAATGGTAACAACAAATTTGTTAAAACATGGTTGACGACAGATTAAAATACACTTGAGAATACACCCACATCAAGATCCTGGTTTACTAAGTACCTGTTACGGAATGGGCGTGGTGCTAGCAGCTGCACACACAAGTGAGAACTTGCGCTATTCTCAAGAATCTGTCTAATGGAGGATGCTGGTAACATCAGGAGACCTCAAAACAGAGTCAAGTGCACATTCGTGAAAACCTGAGTTCAGAGCACAGCTCTGCCACTTACCTAGGACAATTTAGGTTAACTTCTCTTTGTCTTGGTTTCATCTTTAAAATGCGGATAATAGTGTCCAACTAATGTGGCTGCAGGGTTAAATTATGATCATGCACACCAGAGATAGTCACACTGTGTTCCTCAGAGCCCTAGGATTTCATAAACGTATTTATACAGAAATTTTGATTTATGCAATGTGATTAACACAGTCCTTGGCACATACTAGGTATTCCAAAATGTTTTTATTACTAACAAAATAAATAAAAAGTGCACCTAATGCAGGGAGTTCTGGAAGGCTTTCTAAGAAAGTTGGTTCCTGAGTGAAAATCTGATGAAAAAGCAAGCAGGGCAAGAGGTAGAGAAAAGTGATATCTGTAGGGTGTGTAAAAGGCCTGGAGGCCTAAAAGGAAGCAGGAAGCAGAATAACTTTCTACCACCAAAGGCTAACTTAGATGGCAAAGTTATTACTGACAGCAAAGAGAATTCCATGGAAGGATAGAGCCCTCAGCCAGAAAGTTGATGAAGCCACTCTACCAAGCTAGGTCATTCTTAGTATGTTAATGCCTTCCTATTTAGAGTAGAATTCTTTGCTCTTTTTCTACCAAGACCAGGACATCACAAAGGCTGTGTTGACAAAAACAAAAACAACAACAAAAAAACAATGGCACAATCCATCACTGTGCTAACATGTGGGTGCAGCTGGACCAAAAGAGAACTACTCTAATTTCCTTAATCATCCTAAAATATGAGCTTTTTAATCATTCAAAGCTGTGAGCCTCTTGGCCCAGAATAAAGGCCAGTGCTGATCTAAAGAAATTCATTGTATAAATGCACATTTAGTTGCAGCCATCATTATAGGTTTTGCTTTTAAAAGCTTATTTTAGCATTGCTTCTGCATTCCAAATTCAAGCACTGTAGCTAACCTAATTTGGGCTTTGAGCATCAGCATGAAGACATCTGTACTTCTTACTAAACCATTATCATTAGTCCTACTTAGATGAAAAGCTACTTTACTTGGAACACTGCCTGTAGTTCATTGCCCTTGATGTAAGAACAGGAAGATTCCTCTCCACTTCAAACTCCTAGAATATCAGTTTGCATTCAGATTCCTAATCAAATCACCTTCCCTATCATAAGTATGTAAAATATTTATAGCCTACCTACTAATGAGGATAATTTAGGATTAAAATGCTCTCTTCAAAACGGTACCCAAATTCGACATTTCTCTTCCATTTTTTTACAATACTAAAAATTCTATATTCAAAACTGATGTAACAGCCAAAATAAGAATACTGTCAAAAGAACACAAAAAGAGTGAAAATAAAAATATTCCTTATAACACATGATTCCATAAACCTTCAGGTCATTATTATATTTGTTATAAAAATAATAAAATAACCTTACAAAATGATCTCTTTGGTTGTGATTTCTTACATTAAAAATTATAGCAAGCTTCAATAATGGAGGTTTAACCACAATTCGAAAACACACAGCATGTTTTCTCCTAAATACATATTCGTACCAATGACTAGTACAACTGATTCACAATTCTCGTAAAAGTTTTTGAAATCTATTTCAACAGGGAGTGCCCTCAAAGGAAGATATAAATTAAAAAAAAAAATAAGGAAGATATAAATTAGCCTTCAAACTGGGATATATATGCCCTAGGGATATATAACAACTTTCTAAGGGATAAGGAAGCTTGGATAGTTTTAAAGGAAATCGATTTTCAGGGGCGCTCGGGAGGCTCGGTCTGTTAGGTAGTTAAGCGTCTGACTCTAGATTTCAGCTCAGGTCATGATCTCACAATTGTGAGGTTGAACCCTGCCTCAGGCTCTGTGCTGACAGTGTGTGGAGCCCACTTAGCATTCTCTCTCCCTTTCTCTGCCCACCCATCCCCCTAACTCGTGCACTCACTCTCTCTCTCAAAATAAAAAAATAAACATAGAAGAAGAAGAAGAAGAAGAAGAAGAAGAAGAAGAAGGAGGAGGAGGAGGAGGAGGAGAACAGGGAAGAGGGAAGAAGGAAAAAGGAAGAAGAAGAAGAAGAATCAATTTCAGATCATCAACTTCCTAAAGCAGAACACCAGGGCATCTCTTTTCACAACGACCCTTCACCAACCTCATAACTGAGAAGCATGCTTCCCACCCATCCAGAATCTTATTACTGCAAATTGTGCCAGGGTGTAAAAACTTCCAAAGCACCAAAGGCAGTTAAACACATGGGTACCCTGGCTGAGAAAGTAAATGAGTTAAACAACTAGGCGATGTAGCCTTTTGTAATTGAGATGGTTTGTAATCCTTTGCCTTCAACAATATCAAAAGCAGACCAAGGAGTGCTCGCCTAACAGATCATTAAAATAATGCTTGATTAAAAATATCTGTGTGATCTGGGGTCATAACTCAAGAGTTTAAAGAGCTTAGTGAAATTACTGTAACACAATTTCCACCATTTCCATCATCTTATCTTTATGAACAAAGGCATTTACATTTATAAAAATAAAAACATCAAACAAAAACCAGACGTAACTGTTGCTAAACCCTGTCTTCTCAAGCTGTAAGTTATATGTATCCAGGGAAATCTGAAATAATTTTTTGAAACAGTCTCATCATCTAATTAAGAAAAGAATTTTTGATGAATGTTGACTCATTACTTTTAATATTTATAAAAATGTACATTTAAATACATTTCATCATTTTTGTACTCATAATAGTAACAAGTTACTTCCAAAGAACTTTTCAAAATCTTTTAGAACTGCATTGTCTAACACCATCCCAGTTTGCCACATGTGACTATAAGCCCTTAGAAGGTGGCAGCTAGTCCAAACTGAAATGTGCTTTAAAATATCCACTTTAAAGACATTCTAAGAAAATTAGAATGCAAAATACTTCATTAATAACTTTTATTTTGATTACATGCTGAAATAATACTGACGTACTGGGCTACAATGTACTACTACAAGTAATCTCAACTGTGTTTTTCTACCTTTTTTAAATGAGTACCTAAAAATATAAAATTTTATGTACACTTCATATTATATTTCTACTGGACAGAACTTATAACCAATGATACAAAAAATGGTTTTAAATGTGTATATTTTTGTTGCTTAAAAGTATGACAAAGTATCAATACAAGATTCTTAAGTATGAAAGTAACAATAAAAAATGTTTGTTATTGGCTTATCAGGATTCACGTTATCTGACAGATTTGTGTTTATAAAATGCTGCAGTTGTGTTCAAAATTATCTGCTAGTATTTAGCTAGAAAAAAAAATGCTATTACATTGATTTCCTCAGCTAAAACTTCCATTCTTCTACATACTGTCCTGATTTTCAGGCTTCCAAAGTCTGCAAACTCAATCTTACATTTCTCCCCATGTACTTTAAGTATTTTGTAATACATGGCTATTTCGGAGTTGTCAATTACTGAAAGAAAAGCACACTACCTGGATAAGCGCACTGCAGCAGAGCTATTGATTTGCCTCCAGGAGCTGCACACAGATCCAGAACCTTCTCCCCATCTCTTAACTCCAGAGCCAATACTGGGAGAAGAGAGGCGGCATTCAGGAGATAGTATTTTTTTAGATTTCCAATTTGGTGTCTTTCTGAAGGCATTCTGTCTGGAGTTTTACTAAGGTAACACTTCATTGATTTGGGATTGCAGGGTAAAGATCCTTGAAAGAGTGTGTGATAGCCCTTTAAACGTAAATCTTTTTCCAGTTCAAAAGAATAATTGAATCGGTTAAGAAGGACAGCATATTGCCAGCATGATGGTGTTATTAGTATATCCCTAGAAATAGAAAAAGAAAAACAAATAAACATTAGTATTACACACACCAATATAATTTTGTAAGTAATTGAGTGAATGGGGTCTTAGTCTACACTTACCTGTGTTTTTTTTCAGAGTCAGGGTTATTACCATCGACTTTGCCCTTTTGCCTCCGACTATGATATGGCTCAGTCTACTGGTGTTATGACATCCTGCCTTTATTTAAAACTTTGGCATTTTATTCATCATAGGTTTTCTTTCTTTTGCATCAATTGTGCCCATTAAGGAATCATTTATTTTGATTATTGGGTTTTAGGGGCCCCTTAATATCTGCATCAGAAAGGAATGCCTCCTATGCCTCAGCCTAGTCCCTTCCTGCAGAACATCTTGCCAAAAACACGTCTGTTTTTACATACCTCTGAACACATCAAAATAGATGTCAGTCTATCACTCTGCACAAGGAAGGGTTTTTCATAAAGACAAAATTTAAAACCTGAGACTGCTAATATTGGAAGGAAAAATACTATCATTAAAGAGTGTTTAAAGGAGTGAGTGTTAAAGTCTTCCTCTCATGAAATCAAAGTATGGAAAACTAACTATAGTCAACTCTATCGTAACAGTTAATGAGGCGCTCAATGGCTCCGATGATACAAAACCAAGGATGATTTAAAAATCACTTACGGCTTGATAGTGCCACCCCCCCACACACACACACCTCCACCGGCAGATTTTACCTTCCTAATTTCTTATTCAGTCCAACATCTACATCTCTTAACAGTCACAAGCTCACATCAACTGACAGATGATACAGCAGGAAATATTTAATTTATTTACAAGCTGACCTTTCTAGCTGAGTTATTTGGGAGCCTCATTAACCATGGTCAATTAAATAAATTCCAGCTGCTACTCACCCTGGAGTTGCCTATGTGAGAAATGGCTGGATTGAAATGTAACACCTGCGCCTGGAATTGTGCCATGTGAATTTCAACTGGGGACTAATATGTGAAACTGCTTTCTCCTTCACTGCCTCTTACTATGATGGTGCATCATCATAGGACCCAGTACCTGTTTTAGGAATTCTGGAGGATGACAGCCTTTTTCTTTTTTTTTTTAACATTTTATTTTTTGAGAGAGAGAGTGTGTGTGTGAGTGGGGAGGTGCAGAGAGAGGGAGACACAGAATCTGAAGCAGGCACCAGGCTCTGAGCTGTCACCAGAGCCTGACGCGGGCTCGAACCCACGAACCGCGAGATCATGACCTGAGCTGAAGTCGGACACTTAACTGACTGAGCCACTCAGGCGCCCAGCCTCTTTTTTTAAGAACATGCTTTGCAAACTTTAGCATGCATCCAGTGTCTATAAAAGACATGCATCCAGTGTCTATAAAAGGACTTTCTGATTCAGTGGGTCGGAGATGCGGCCTGAGAATTTGCATTTCTAGCAAGCTGTCAAGTGAGAATGATGTTGCTAATCTTCGGGGCCATACTTTGGGAACCAATGCATTAAAATGGACCCAAAAGGGAAATCTGTGAACGTCACTGCTGTAACTCTTACTTCAGTACATCCTAATCTTACCCTCCAAACTGGATGAAAATCTACTCATAATTTTGAATCACACAGTAACAGAGAAATAATGGTCAGAAACATAATTCATACAGATTGGAGTGGCTTGGCTGACATGTGTCCATCCCTTTAGCTAACAAAGGTAGGTCACTTTCAATTGGTTAATATCTGACAGAGCAAATCTCTATTCTCCTTTTTTTTCTTAAGAATTTCCAAAGTGATTTTAGAATGTTTATTCTTTCAGATGAATTTCAGAAATCAGTGTGTCAGTTAATAATTTATAAAATATCTGCAAACATAGAAACTTTGACTGGGATTATATTAAATGTACTAAATTTGGGAAGAATTAACACCCTTATTGCAGTTAGTCTCCACACTGAACTATATGTTTATGCATTTATTCACATTTTCTTTTAGATCACTTAGTATAAAGGTTATTAATCTTGCATATTTCTTTTCAACCTTATTGTACATAAAAGGACAGTTTAGGAATGCTAGTTATTTTCATATATTATACAATATGTTAAATCTTGAAGGATAAGGAGGAATTAGTTACAGGGCAAAATGAGAAAGAAGTTCAAGGGCAAAGGCTATAGCACATGCACAGGCACATTCCCATTTGGGGAATTAAAAGTAGTCTAGGGGTGCCTGGGTGTATCAGCTGGTTGAGTGTCCAACTTCAGCTCAGGTGGAGATCTCACAGTGTGTAAGCCCGCATCAGGCTCACTGTTGTCAGCGCAGAATCCGCTTCGGATCCTCTGTCCCTCTCTTTCTCTGCTCCTTCCCCGCTCCCACTCTCTCAAAGATGAATAAACATTAAAAAAAAAAAAAAAAAAAAAACAGTCTAATGTGGTTTATGGAAGATTATATGGGTCAAGTATAAGATGATAAAGTTTTAAAATTTTATCCTGTATGTGATGGGAAGTTATTGAAGGACTTTGGGAAGACAGCCTCACTGGATTTAAAAACACACACTTACGGCAGGATGAGGCAGGAAATCTTCAGAAATTGTCCTCATTCTTTAACAACTAGATAAAACAAGAACTTGCTTAAACAAATTTTCTTGGGAATGCAAGCTGGTCAGCCACTCTGGAACAGTATGGAGGTTCCTTCTAAAAATAGAACTACCCTATGACCCAGCAATTGCACTACTAGGCATTTATCCAAGGGATACAGGTGTGCTGTTTTGAAGGGACACATGTACCCCAATGTTTATAGCATCACTATCAACAATAGCCAAATTATGGAAAGAGCCCAAACGTCCATTGATGGATGAATGGATAAAGAAGACATGGTATATATATGTATCTATGTGTGTGTGTGTGTGTGTGTGTGTATATATATATAACACACACACACACACACATAGATACATATATACATATACACATATACATGTGTATATGTATATATACACATATATGCATACATACATACATACATAGTGGAGTATTATTCAGCAGTCAAAAAGAATGAAATCTTGCCATTTGCAACTACATGGATGGAACTGGAGGGTATTATGCTAAGTGAAATTAGAGCAAGACAAAAATCATATGACTTTACTCATATGAGGACTTTAAGAAACAAAGCAGATGAACATAATGGAAGGGAAACAAAAATAACATAAAAGCAGGGAGGGGGACAAAACAGAAGAGACTCATAAATATGGAGGACAAACTGAGGGTTACTGGAGGGGTTGTGGGAAGGGGGATGGGCTAAATGGGTAAGGGGCACTAAGGAATCTACTCCTGAAATCATGTATGCTAACTGATTTGGATGCAAATTTTAAAAAAATAAAAAATAAAACAAGTTTAAAAATAAATAAATAAATATTCTGATTCCTCCTAACATATACCCTGCCCTACTGAACTACTTGAAGTTCCTGGAACATGTTGTCTTTAGCCTTTACTGGTCTCAGTATAAACTGCTCCCTCTGCCTAGAATGACCCTTCCTCTGACCTACAATGACCCACCTGTAGCCTGGTTGACTCCCCTACTCTCTACTGAGGGGGGTGGTTTAGGATTTCTCTCCCCAGGGAAGCCTTTCTACCCACAACCCAACTAACCTGATCCACCTCACCCTGATACTAATAATAAAAATACTGATTATATACTTACAATATGCATTTTGCATGCTTACCCCATGTAACTATCACTACCGTGAAGAGGAGCTATGATACCCATTTTAGAACTTACGTAACTAAAACTTTCAGAAATTCGGCAACTTATCCAAAGCTACATCACTACTAACTAGAAGTACCCGGTTCAAAAATCTGGCTGACATAGTGTGAGATCTGGTACTGTAGCATTAGTGGCATACCACAGGGAGAGACAGAGAATTTGCACCTAACCCTCACTTAGTGTCAGCGCCCTGGCCTGCCATCACTTCTAACACTGGAGAATAGCCTGACACACACTGCCCTGAGGACCCGACATGTGACCACTCGATGAACGGGCTACTCAGGCTGGTGCTTCCTAGCCCTGAGAAAACAAAACTGCCTATTAATGTAGATCTCAGCTCCCCCTGCACCCACCTACCAGTGGCGTTCCTCCCTCCAGCATGGGCATGTGCGTGCGCACACATACACACACGCGCACACATACACACACACACAAACAATTCTCCAGTGCTTGTGATGGCAGGATGATGCCCCTGAGGCTGGCATGCCAATGGCTACTCAAGTCCAAAGCTCTGACTGGATGGGCAAATAACCTGTCAGACAGTGGAGGGGGTGTACATTAGAGGACTCAAGAAGACATTCTCCACTCTCAAGATTCATGAGGAGTCTGAAGCTGTTCCACTTACTGGTCTTCAATGACAGAAATTCAAGTACATCAGCAGCCAGATGAACTGGGACCCACAAGATGAGTGACCTGCAAATGTTTTGCTAGTACCTCCAACTGACACCATTTTGAAAAAAACTATGTACCCTCTGGCACATTTTAAGTTGACATCAAAATCTTCACCATATGTTTAAGAATGTAATTTCCAGCATACTATAAAAATTGACATTTTAAAATATAAATTATACCACTTTTTAAAATGTATCCAATGGAACCTAAATACCAGAGTGATTTTGAAACCCATCATTGTCCATCTAAAAATTCATGGACTGACTCTTCTTAAACAGGTGAAAATTTTACAGCTCCTTTTTCTATTTACATTCTATTTCCCCATATCACTTTATCCTAATACATTTTCGTGCTTGAAATCTTTTATTGCCTTATTGTACTTCTCTGCTACACACACACACACAAAGTGTATATATACTAAATTTGTTTTCCTTGTGGCCTAAATCTCTGTTAAAATGGAAACTTGTTAGAGCTGTCATTACAAAATTGATGAAAATAACCTATTACTGATTTGATAATAATTAAACATAAAAAGAAAAGGTGAGGGGTGCCTGGGTGGCTCAGTTGGTTAAGCATCCGACTCTGGATCTCAATTCAGATCATAGT